GCGGTGGAAGGACAGAAACAAAAAAATCATAGTTTTTTTTTATATAGAAAATAGGTTTATTATCGTCGTCCTCTTATTAGCTACAAAGAGTGTACTCTTTAGTGCTTTATTCCTATAGATATAGTCCTCTCATTTATTAAGGTATGATCTAAAAAGATAAAGATAAGGAATTAATTATGACGAAACTTTCTCACCCGTAATTATATTGAAATCCGTCCAAATTCTATTGACTATTACAGTACATAATGATTATGAGATAGGACAAATGAACGTGAAAACTACATTCCTTAATGGTAACCTCGAAGAGAAGATGCATATGATATAAATAAATATTATTTTTAATTATTTTTATTTTTAATTACTATATTTTTTATTTTTTTATTTTTAAGGTGCTGACCTCCGGAGCATAGGCAATGGCTTTTTGAGTTAAATACAATTTTATTTTTGGTAAAAAAAATTATATAGCTTGGACAACAAAATTGGCCCATTCCAGCTAGCCCGGACCGGTCCATCTCTGATTTGTGTCCGGTTGACCGATACGAAGCCGAAACAAACCCACCACTTGAGGACTATTTGATGCACGCATTGGCGATGTGGCCGGAATTCCCAACTCGCAAGTCAGGTTGGACGGGGAAAGGGTTTGGTGTAAGAAAAGATGAAGCAGCCGCCGGCGTCGTATCTGTACCACCAGCAGCAGCAGCAGGAGGAGATGGAGGAGGCGGTGGCGGTGACCGTGGGGATGGAGGTGGACGACGCCGATCCCATCGAGATCCTCTCCGACTTCGACCGCCAGCAGCCCCCTGTCGACGCCGACTTCTTCAACTCCTTCGACGATGACTTCGACGACCAAGACCTTGCTTGAAGGCACCTGCTCTTCCTCCTCGTTCTCTTCTGGTACCATCTCCCCCTCCCCTCTTCCTTGAACGTGAAACCTCTTCTATTGTTTGTTTGTTAGGGATTTAATGAGGAGTACGCACTCATGGGGAAATTTGAAATTGTTTAACTATCGGAGATGCATTTATTTGTATTGCATGATTTCCGATCCACTGATATTACATCACAATATCAGGATATAGATATTATTTCCCATGGAAAATGAAAAAAAAAAATATTATTCATTCTACTCTGCACCTATTTTTACATTCTTTTCTGGTATTCGTTGTGTCTTGGGTTGCGAAAATACTGCCTTTTTACATAGTTCAATGATGGCAAAAGATCCATTTAACCGATTCTAAACACTTGGAAATTTTGTTGTTATCCATGTCAACAAGCCATATTGTCTTTCCAGAAAAAGAAGCTAGTGTGAACAGAGAAGAATGGAACAAATGAAACTGTGCTACATTGTGGGTAGAGATTCGCTTAACAGATCTCTCATTACCTAAGCTATTATTATTTTGCTGGATCTTTGTTTAATTATTAGGTTTGAATGAAAATTATCTAAGATAGTTATAACTAGCCATGCTTTATAAATTGGAGTATTGGGCAAGTATGAGTAACATGTTAAAAAATTTAGCGTTGACGAGATGTAAATGTATAAATGAATGTATGTGATTAGTAGAAAAGAGAGAAAAATAAATTTTATCGTTCGCCAACAATTAGGCCGGCCTAATTAGAGGATAAAATGAAAGAACTGTTCTAGTTAGATAAGATGAGTTGATCGGAACTTGTGGTGCGGGGAAAGCTAAGGTTGAGTTGGCAATGAGGTTGACCTAACAAAAGTTTTCTAGAGTTTAGGTGATTTAGATATATTGCATTTCACTGAGTAAATGATGGAAAAAGTAGCTGATTGTCGTTATCGTACTTATTATCAATTTCTGTCGTAATATCATATAGTAATTTTAAAAACTTTCACGATTCATCTTTATCTCCTGAGTTTAGAATCTTTTGGAGAATTTATTTTTCACAAGTGGGCAGTTGTGAGATTTGACTGACAAATAAGTGTGCAGTTGTCTTAGCAATATAAACTTACAGTATGTTCATTGTAAAAGATAATCTGTTTTTAGTGTTCATGCTATTTCTTTCCATTGTCTTCCCACTTCTATGGAATGCTGTTTATAGACATAATATATGAGACGTGTGGCATATTTTAGCTAGTTGCTATGCTTTGTTGTCGGCAGGCATTTTGATGATGGAATCTGATTTTCTAACAGGTTGATGTGTTATCGTTCTGTGATACCTCAGCTGAGTTGGTGCGAGGTGGAAATAAGGTGACATGGAATTCTGTCAGATTAGTTGGTGTGGAATGTCTCTTATGGAGTCTGTCATGGTATCATGCTGCCATGTGTACGTATGTGTATCGATTGTCATGCTATAAAACAATTTCAGAACTGATTATGTTTTGAACAGCAGAGTTGCATAGCTACTATAATGAATCGGCAGCATGTTGGACTGAGCCAATTCTTTGACAATTTAAGACAGTAATGTTACCCTCAACATAGCTTAGTGGTGGGTAAAGATTCGTGCAACTGACTTAAAACAGTTGTGACCTTATGGCTCCTTCCTCTTGTTATTTAATTCAGAAACAGATGAGACTGGTTGGTCTCTACCAGAAAAACTGGGAACTGGGCCCCATGTTTTAGAACATTGGTGCTGGCCTCAATACAACTCCGTGGTGGGAAAGATCCATGCAGCGTGCCCTTGGTAATTGTGATCTTACAGTTTGTCATTGTTATTGATGGTGTATCTGGTGAACAATGGTATTGGTATTCCTATCATGGCTTGATAAATTCCATTTCTCTTATAATTTTGCTGTTTTCTTTTTGTATTAGGGATCTCATATCGGGTTTCGAATAGCTTTAAGAATTGATTGTAGTCAACTTGATTGCCTAGTGACTTTTCCTAACAATTTAATGGTACAAAAAGGCTTGAGAGTATACTCCATGGAATATGTTCAACCTGATAATTTGAGATTTATAGTGAAATTTACCTTTTATTTTGGTTATTATTGTTATTTTTAATTGATATTATTGAGGATTAATGAATGTGTGGTTGATTGTCGCTTAGTATTACGATCCATGTTCAAATTATGTTATATATAGTATTATTGTTTATATGAATATAATATTCTTTCAAATATATTTGTTAAGTCTGTAATATGATCAATTGTTCCAGTGGATCAACCAGTGATCCGAGGAAGTTTGGACGCTTAGATGATTATTTATTTCTGCTAACTACTTTTCTAATTTATCTGCTGCCTTTATGTAATGATTCATTATCTATTCACTGTATTCTTATTATGTTAAACATCCCACCACTTGGAACATCACAGGAGTGGTTCGGACACCAGGATACATCTTGATGATCGAGATGGTGATGATGATGCTTATGATAGATAGCATTATTAGGTGATTCAATTTTGTAGGCCTCCGCACAGGTTATACGAGTTGAGTGCTGTTCACGCAAATCCTTGACGAATCCCTTTTGGCCCAATTTCCAAGTATAGCCACCCAGGAAGTGGAACTCGTATATGATTGGTTGATTCATCTAAGAAGAGATTGGCAGTCACAACAGTCTTGTCTTGAACTTGGTACTTTCAAGAAATTAGAAGGATGGGAAAGAAAGCCATAGTTCTATTTCCTCATCAAACACAATAAATCAAGAATTAACAAGAGAAGCTCCCAACAAAAACTTAGCAAAGGAAAAGAAGAGAAATAGAACACAAATAGAAAGGATGGTCGAGAGTTCAGCATCCGTCTAAAACTCACCCGCTCTGAAGTGCAAACAGAAATTTGTAAATAAGAACATGTTCCTTCTTGAAAAAACACGGAAAACAGAATCACAATGCCAAAAGATGTAAGAAAACGGCGAAATATTGCTCCAAGAATCGGCATGAAACAACAGATGGATGATTAACAAAAATGTCAGAATCTTTCTTGAAGAACCATAGAACAAGAATCACGCCGCCCGCCCACCCCCCAAGAGATCGAGGAAAACGATCGTAATTAGCTTCAAGAACCGATAACTATTGACCAAAACAAACAAAAATCATAACACGATCAGAATTCCTTGTTGGAAAACCACGGAAAATGAATGACGTTACCAAAGATCGATGAGAACGAAGATATTTGGACTGGAGAATCAGCAACAAACAACAAATCAGAATCTCTTTTCGAATAACCAAGAAGCAAATAATCACGCCACCGAAGGATTAGAAGACATACATATTAAGCTTCAAGAACCGACAACAACGACCATAAGAAACAGAACACGATCAGAATTCCTTCATGGAAACCCACGAAAAAAGAATCAGGCTGACAAAGATCGACGAAAACAATGATACATGGCTTCAAGAACAGGATCTGGCAAAAGCGTGCTCGACGATTAGAAAGAAAGAGTAGATATCAGAATCATCATTACCTTTATGTTCGATCGCCGTCTCTCTTTGGCGCTCCCCAATTTTCTTCGATCACCGTGAGTGAAGCGAGAGAAAGAGGGAAACTGAAGTCAGGATGGGCCGTTCGAATCGTTATATACATACGTATATTAAGCTTATATATATACACGCGAGAGAGAGAGCGCGGGCGCGCCATAAGGCGAAGCTTCCAGAAGTGCGGACGCCAACGAGTATTTTAATTCAGCTAAATCGTTCTTGGTACTAGCCTAAAACAGACTCGAGATTACCATTGATGCTCATATTCATTAATGTAGATCACCCACGCCATTTAATTATTTTTCTTACGGACTATAGACATACGCAATTTTCTAATCGAACGATGCATCAAACATCTTAATACTAAGTTTTACATCATGAGTCCAAAAGATAAACATAAGTTTTACATCAAGTGATAGATAAATTCAAAATAAGACAAAAGCAATAAATGATGTGGCACAGGAACTCGTTTCATTAGAAATAAATAAATAAGCAGCTAAAGTTGCTGAAATTATTGTTCCCCGTAGGAAGATGTATTAATTCAAGGGTCATTTTGCATACTGATGGAGCATCTAGGAAGACCATGAAGTTTCTTCAATACCCCCATTAATTTACAAAGTTGCCTCAAGAAAAAGCCTTATTTAACTCACCAGAAATAGGAGAGTAGGCAAAAAATTTAAACTGGCACTTCTCTTGCAAATAACTTTTTGACCTGTCCATAAATGATGAAAATGAATTAAAAATCTTGGGTCAAAACAGAAATTTATGAAAGCCGGATGATATATACTTAAAAGAAATTTATGTTTAAGATATTGGACAACTGCAGCCTATCTTGAAAATGCAGGTTACCTTCATGCCCAGCACTCGACACTTAAAAGAAAATCATTTCTGGAACAATCAGTTGTTTGAATGTATGACATTGATATATGCATTTAAGTTTGTGTACAGAAACTGCCAGATGAAGATAGCAGCACAAAAAATAAAATGTAGAAGATTGGCAACTGTAATTACCTGCTCCAATGTCAAGAACATGATCACATTCCATGATCCGAGTCGACCAAAATTTGGAAGGAAACCTTTGTAAAAAGCTAAAGGCCCCTGGAAAAAAATCATGTTTCATTTCAGTTGCGCTTGTTATAATACTTGCGACCAATCATGTTGTGAAAATAAAGGACAAAGATTAGAGTGGAAAAGATCCCTGTTTCTCTCTCAATTGATTTGTTCGACAAAAGTTTTACAGTATACTGAGAAGACTTGATCGATGCACCATGCATAACTCTCAGATAACAGAAATAATACAACATAAATTTCCTATTAAAACAGATAAATAAAATATAAAAAAATCAATCAGAAGCTTTTGAATTGTCAAATTCCAGAAAAGAAAACACACCATGTCTATATACGTTTTAGGCACAGGTTGATTGCTGAAGGTATGACAGAAAGAAAAGTTGAAGTAGGTGAATGATATTCACTAAAAAAACCAGGTAGTTTTGCAGAAACTACAAAAGATAATCATGATATATATACTACCTCAACCAACCATAATGATTGTGGATTTTTCATCCAATATAATTTATTGCATTTGCAATGGAGAGAATAGCTAAAAGCCCTATTGCCAATACATCTTGAATGGCTAACTAGAATATACAATGATGATTATGTTTCCATCTTCAGTTCTCTTGTCACTCGTGTCCAGACAACATACTATACCTAAAGTCAGATGATTCTAATGTATGGCTTATGAGCAGTAAACATAAATTGATGAAAAGACAAAAGAGAGAAGTAAACATGAATAGTAAGGGTAGTAGTAGCTCCGTATATTATGTTTAACTAGAGAATTTAGCTTCAAAAGTATCAATTTTTCAAGAATTTGCCAACAGTTCAAAAATACAAGTATAGAAATCAGGATCCGAAAAGCACAATAATCAGCCCATTTAATGTGTCAGACCAGTTTAGCGTTAGCTTTGCACAGTAGCCTGATATGATATAATAATATATTTATTATGTTCCAGTTCACATAACCTCATACCACATTGGCTGCAACAATATCTATATAAAAGCTATTACTCTCACTTTTAACTAAGATACTTGGCTACTCATTAGCACAGATAATCATTTATGATATATCTCCTAGTTCTTAAAGCAGCATGGCGTCAGAAAGCATGGTAGTAAAAACACTTGACCATCCATGCTGCTCTGAACAATCTATTCCTAGAATATTGTCCCACAACAATCATCTAAGTAACAAGAAAATAAACCATGTAGGGAAAAATGGGCAAGGAAAGATGTTTGACTAAATGTGACAAAGAGATGCAATAGGCACTCAGCATACTTCATTTTTCATTGTCTTCACAAAACAATCAAGTGTGCTTTTGTAGGCTGAATCTCCCATCATTCTTGACTTCACCTAAAAAAAGCAATTTCCAGAATGTCAGCTGGATAGAAGGCCCAAATATATATTTGTAAGTTGTACACATTGATTACATATATTAATATAAAATTAGATAATCTTTATTCTGCAGCCACCTAATAAGCATACAACAATAGCAAGCCAAGCCAGTTATATAGTATATTAGTATAACAGTGGCAAAAAATATATATATCAGAATTTTTTTAATCTGCCTATCTATCTATCTGATGGTTGTTTTGCTTCTGTTATGCTGAAAACAATTTTCATTGTCAATCTGTCATTCATATGATGAGACAGTTAGAAGGAAATATGGAGAAAAGTAAGCAGTGGGGAGATTAAGGTTTAACAACTGCTATCTGTAAAAGCATCCATTTCAACTGAATTTACGTGCAGGACCAACATACCATTGTAGTGTAGGAAATACAGAATAATGGAGATATCAAGAATAAACTTATTATATATGTATGTTTGTGTGTGTGTGCACGTGTGTTGGATAATGTCAAAGATATATGTTACCAAACAACAGCAGACTTTTCATAATGAAGCCAAAGAAACACTTCCACCAAAGGGAACTGGGAAAAAAGTTCGTGTATACACTTCCAATGTGTAATATTACCATGTTATTATAGGTCCCCCAGATACATCCGTTTAACCAAGATGAAGTTAAGGTTAAATTGAAGCCTTTAATATGAACTACAATACAGAACAGCTATCGCAGTCCTCATATTCCTCCAGTTCAACACTAAGCCTTGTTATAAGTCATAATGGTGAGTTCTTTCGGGTAGATTTTGGAGAATCTAAGATCTCACACAAATTCTCTAAAAACTGGAACTGATCAACCAACTGTTTGTTACAGACACATCATTGCATTAATGGAACAAGCAGGATAAGATGATAAGTAATTTATCAAGAAACTCACCACATCAACAGGAGAACCAATACAAACAGCAAAAAAACCAGCACCCAGACCAGACAAAAGATGAGTAAAAACATTATCTGTGAATCCAGGGATTTTCAGAATTGTCTGCATAAATGGAAGCTTGGTGATGTTAAAAGAGAACAGAAACATAAGAATAACAATGAGCACTTTGTAGTGAGATTTTGGGTAACCTGTTTGACTTCATCGTAACTAGCCAACTCAGCAGCATTTATAATTGCGTTACGTGCAACATTAGGACCAAGACCAGTCCAGAGAGCCCCAAGTCCTTCCTAGATAATAAAATAAGGAAGATTCAGCATGCAGATTACTTGAAATATTAAGTATTAGTTTTTTGAGTGATAACCTGTCTGACTATTGTGGAGTAAGCATTCAATGCTCCTGAATACCGTCTTGGTACACCAGGTGGAAGCTTCCCTTCCGCTTGAAGTCGTACTTTCACTAGATCAGTTGGATTTGCCACAGTAATCGCCAAGGCACCTACGTGAATTGTAAAAAAGTTATAGTATCTAGCTTTCAAGAAATGAACTGGAGCAATTTTATCTTCTGGCACTAGCTATGCAGCACCAGATTGTTCAAAACAACAAAACATGAAAAGGAATCTCTATTCTTTTATTAGCACTTCTGCACTTTAACACACCAGTTGTAAGACCAGCGAGAATTTTCTTGGACAAAGGAATATCTCCCACAAAATTTTCACCAACATAGAAGGACTTTACCTGTGAAAAAAGGCAAGACATAACTTCACATTATATGAGAAATATCAAGAGCGAATGCATGAGTTATATACTAACAAAGGACTTTGAAACTTACCGGCTCATACAACCCAATCCGCAAACCTCCAAAAAGACATTGGCGATGCAAACCAGGCACGATGCCTTTCCAAAGTGCTGTCATTCCTTCCTCCCTTGCGATGGTTGCAACAGTTCCTAGCATTCCTCTGTACTTTGGCATGGCCATGGCATCTGTAGCTGCTTTCTTCTGCAGCTGAAGCCTCACTTTTGCAGTGTCAAGAGGGATCGTGCACAGCTGCAACAGATACAAAACGAATACGGAATATGAGAAAGGGCAATTGGCCACATAATTAAAAACCCCCTATTTATCCTGGTCGTAAATAAAAATGTTTGCTTGTTTCTTCTACTGCAAAGGCTTCTTCCCTCGCAAGCATTCGTGACTACATTTGTTTCCCTCCTATCTATTTCTTTAGATAACGAAGAAAAATAGTAATTAAAGGAGTTTGATATATCTTGACAGTCTATGCAACTGTGATCCAAATCAAGTATAAGCTCACAGAATGAACTTAGTAATGTACTTGGAACCAAGACAGTAAGATCGTATTATAATCTATTGCGCAAAAGTATCCAGAAACCCTCGCTTCTCGATGTTGTCGCTACTTTCAAGAAAGGAACAATGTTAAAGATCACGCCTATTAGCAAAACGATTCCGAGAACAAAAGGTAAGAAGCAAATAGCAAGACATTGGTAAGCAACGGAAGGAGCGAGTGATCGCGGGTACCTCAGCGAAGCAGGCGGCGATGGCGCTGCTGGCGAACCTTCCGGCGAAGGAGATCTCCGTCTTGGTGCGGTGATCGGCCATGGCCACTGCAGGCTCACTGCGATCTGGGGGGAGGCGGTAGGATGGAGCTCCGGGATGAAAGACCGGGGAGGGTTGTTAAGGGGGGATAACAAAATAGGAAGGAGAAATGTGTTGGAAATAGACGATACACCAATAAAAGAGTGGCATTGGCGCCCGAAGGGCAGGTTCGACGCAAATAGAAGCAAGTTGGCCACCGCGGTCTTACTCGCGTTTCAAAATAACTGATCATGTACCCTACCTGTATGGACAATTCGACCGAAAGAAGTGGGACCCTTCACGGATCCATCGCAGGTTCGTCAACGAGTAAGAAACCACAGGTAAATACACAATAATCAGAGCAAATTAATAAAGGGACTACATGGATGGTATAAAACCGTGACAGTGAACTCGTCGAAGTTGTTGGAGTGAAGCGTGAACAGAGAGTCGACAACAGTGAATTTAGACCTATCGTGACGAATCATCCCTTTCCATGGGTTGTGACGAGCCAGATTTGCTGTCAAATTGGAGTGTGATGTGGTCTCGTTCGAGTTCCATTTGACAGGACCTGATGCCTGATCTCATTGGACATTCGATAGGCAAAAACCGGAAGAACGTTCTGGATGCCAGTGGTAGCTTCTGGATTCGAAGACCCCACCGAGCCCAACCCAACCCAACCCAACCCAACCGAAGGCAGAGGAATTCTTTGGAATCCCGTTTCCCCCTGCCATTAAGCCCGTCGGAGCGTCACCTCTCCGCTCATCCAAATTCCGAAGACCTCGAGATATCTCCGATCTTTTTACTTTCCCAATTCCTCTTCTTCTTTTCGCTGAATCGTCGTCGATCCGTGCGATCGAACCAAGGATGTCGCTCATCCCCTTCGGATTCGGCCCCTGGCGGAGCGACGTCTTCGATCCCTTCTCCCTCGACATCTGGGATCCCTTCGAGGGCTTCCCCTTCGAGTCACCTCTCTACTTCCCCCGTCTCTCCTTCCCTCCCGTCGCCTTCTCCGGCGAGGCCTCGGCCTTCAACGCCGCCCGTGTCGACTGGAAGGAGACCCCCGAGGCCCACGTGTTTACGGCCGATCTGCCCGGACTGAGGAAGGAGGAGGTCAAGGTGGAGGTGGAGGACGGCCGCGTCCTCCAGATCAGCGGCGAGCGGAACCAAGAACGCGAGGAGAAGACCGATACCTGGTACCGCGTCGAGCGGAGCAGCGGCAAGTTCCTTCGGAGGTTCCGCCTGCCGGAGAACGCCAAAGTCGATCAGGTGAAAGCCGCCATGGAGAACGGCGTCCTCACCGTCACCGTCCCCAAGGAGGGAGTGATGGTGCCCAATGTTAAGTCGGTCGATATCTCCGGTTGAGTGGTATGATACTATTGGCAAAGTTGAGATTTGCATATGAGTATTATGTTCAGCTAGTTCTTCCTGCGAATCGGTACTCTACCATCACTCTGCAGTGTCGTAGTCTGTGATGCGTTTGTCTTGATTCGTGCGATATGATCTTTTGTGTATCAAGGATGGCTGTATATATGTAATTGAAACACTCGTGCAGTTTTATGTTCTTTGATGGATTTGTGTCGAATTGTGAAGTAGCTATTGTGATTTTTACCAACTCCGAGTCCCACATCATACTCTGCATATCTAAAGATTAACATTATTCTTATCCCGGATCTCAAATTGAACTTTTCTTAGACCTTCGCCTAAGCGGAGAATGCTTATTGTATCTTCACATACAAACAAAATCACTTGCAACAAATTATTGGATATTGTTGTTTCTCGATCTCGGTCGCCCAACACATTTGGCGTAGACAGAAAAGAGTAGAAAAATGGCGAGAACGATGAATCTGCAGTGAGTGAAGGCCTGACAGGGAAGCTCGTTCGCTATCTGGTCGGTCTCCGTCCGCGGTGGCTTCTCCCAATTAACAAGCGGGGTAGTCCGGAGGCGGTGGGGGCAGAATGGAGTCCGGGGTGTTGCCGTTCTCCACCCAGAAAGCCGTCCCCAAACCAAGAGCCAAGTGGATGTCGAAATGACAGTGCATGAACCATACACCTACACCCACAGACATGCTTCGTGAGATGGGGGATTCTGCAAAGAAGAAAAGAAGAGAGATGACGAAGGAAAGAAGAGGCCGCACCTGGGTTGTTGGCGACGAATCGGATGACGGCCCATCCGCCCGCGGGCACAGCGATGGTGTTCCTCACCTGCGGGTCCACCAGATTGAAGCTGCTCACCGCCGCCGTCGCGTTGTAGTTTCCGAAGCCCTGCGCGAGCACAAAGAAGTTGAAGCTGTGGAGGTGTATCGGGTGGTTCTCCGCCCCCTCTATCGCCGTGTTCTGCAGCACTATCTCCACCGTCGCGTTGTACTTCACCTTCTTCAACCTGATGTCTTGGACTGTGTTGCGCAGCGACCGCAGAGCCGGGTCGGTGTTCACGGCGGGGTTCGTGAAGTCGAAGAACACCGGCGGGTTGTCGGGGAAGTCGGTCTTGTATATGCTCAAATTGTTATAGTGTGCCACCAGAAACGGCGTCGTGGGGGGGAACACAAACGATACGTTGTTCATGCTGGCGGATGCTGACCCCGTGGTCTTGTTGCACAGAAATTGTGGCGGTGAGCAGGGAACGATGCCCGACCCGATGGTGACGAACATCTTCTCATCCACGTCGAGAGGGACGGTGGGATCCCCCGGCCTAACGAGAGCGGTCAGGTTGGTGTAGAATCGGTGGGCGGTCGGGGTGTCGTAGAGGCCCGGCAAGGCCGGCATCACGGGGGCAGAAGAACTGTTGACGGACGCGTACTTGACGATGCCGGTGGTGGTGCTGAGGTCGACGGGTGGGCCTTCAGGACCTGCGCTGATGTAGGGGCGGGCGGCCATGTAGTAGTTGCCCGGGGCGGCGTTGGCGACCATGAGAGCGTCCACCGTCTGGCCGGGGGCGATGACCACCACGTCGGTCTCGTAAGGCTTGGTGTAGGTGGCGTCCACGGCGACAACCGTGAAGTTGTGCCCGGCAACCTTGAAGAAGAACTGACCATTGACTGCAGCGTTGATGATCCGGAGCCAGTAGGTCTTCCCGGAAACGACTTCGAGCTTGTAGGTGTCTGCAGGCGACCATCGGAGGTCAAAGATTCATTCACGAGTCGGACACAGCATCATCGACAACCAGTTACGGGTCAAGGCGAGGAACACTCACGCTTCTTGGAGCAATTGTACAAGTCGCCGGGCTGGCCATTGATGGTGAATGCATCGGAGACGTTGGGGGCACTACCGGAAACGTAGGCCGCGTTCAACACATCGATCGGATTGCCGTTCCACCACTCCCCTGTACAAGATCAATTACAGGGGCCGGGTCAGGTCATCCGGAGCTACTAATTTGGAGGTGTGCAATCTCGATGGTGACGAAACAGTACCGAGTAAGATGTTGGCTTCCTGGTCGGGCGGGGAGAAGGGCAAGGCCGCAGCGCCGCCTCTGGGACGGATGATGAGGGCTCCATAGACCGTAACCCGGAGGAGGGAGAAGTGGGCGTGCCACCAAAGCGTGCCTTCTTGGCCCGTGACGTTGAACCTGTAGGTGTAGTTGTTCCCGGGGCGTACCGAGCACTGAGTGACCATGTTTGGCCCGTCAGCCCAAGCGCTCAGCCTCTGGTACACGCCGTGCCTGCAGAGAGATTGGGACTGATGATGACTAAAGATAGACGACGGATGAGAGTTGCGTTTGATGATGACTAAAGATAGACGACGGATGAGAGTGCGTCCTCCATTGGTTGAGTAAATTACCAGTGAATCGTCATGTTGGTGGGCGATTCGTTGATGGCATGGACGACCAGCGTGTCACCTTCGTTGACATATATCGTCGGGCCTGGCATTTGGTCGTTCACTGCAGTCACCACTCTCTCTTCGCACAGCCGTGTCAGAGTCAGATTTCCAACCTGAAAGACGAACAACAACCCAAACCTTGTGAATTCGCCGTTCACAAATCGACCATGGGAGACCGCTACCACCGTTACATGCTCGATGGTGATGCTATCGACTTGACTATTCTTCCGAAATGTTAGCCATCATTAACTTATCTATCTGGTGATGCAAGCAAGATGTGGGTTCCACATTTGTCTGGGATCACAGGCTGCGTAGGAGACCGGGAGACTCGACTTATGCTTTGGTCTTTAGGCTACGGTGGCTGCTTAGATGATGGAGAAGTAATGCAATTGATCTCCTAAAGGTGTGTAGATGTTTTGACTTCAAAAGCTCCCATAACATGGCTACCTAACCCTAAGCCACAAATCTGTAACCACAGCTAACTCAGCAACTTCATTGCTTCCATCGCTAGCTAGCAGAGTGTTATGCTTCACGATCGCTAAGAGAGAGAGAGAGAGAGAGAGAAGGGAGTAGAGAAAATTACACGGAAGGTGTGCTCCACGATCGCTGCATCCGCCACAAAGCCGATGAAGGCGAAGGTGAACAGCAGCGCAGAGGAGGACCAAGCCATGGTCAGCAACAAAGCAGGGCAATAAGCGGAGCAAATGCTGCTGCCCGGCGAAGTTGGTGCCAATGAACGAAGCTATAATGGTCCTTTTATAGTCCTATACATGCATGCTCAGACACGATTTACTTGCTACGAAAGCGATAGAAACGACATATATATATATATTTCAATATTGATGAGCTTATGCTTCTTAATGGAGCAAAGACAGGAGGTGGCGGTCAAACCATCCTACTATTGTTGAATCTTCGGGGGTTGGTAAGACCGGCTTCAGTTCTATAATTGGTGACGACTTGTGCTGTGCAGTGAACAAAGGTGCCAAGTCTGACCGCTCGCAGATATTCCATTCATTTTATTTTCTTTCATTTCCTGTATTAATTGGAAGGAAGGGATCGTCTGCGCATATGAGTCTGCTACTTAGTAAGATCACAGAGCAAAGTTTTAATGCAGGCTTTTGTTCTCTTGGGAGAGTTCTGCCGGCCCGGTCGCCCTTCCATCGTTCCAAACAAATGCACGGCGGCAGTCGAAGTAGGTTTAACGTCGATGGCTGGCAGGGCTTAGATCATCGACAACAACCACGGAACAATGATATTAAGATAATGTTGCGGGAGATTCGCCGTGGGTTTCAGGGCGTCGACTTTGCACGTCCGTGGATGAACCATGAGAACGGCAGCCGGAAACCACAAGTCATTGTGGCTCCCCTGCACATGGTTTTGTGCGTGAGACGGTGCTGAGGAACACACGGTGTCGTTGGATCGATGTTATGCCACCTCCACTGTTCGGTGATCACAACTTCACCTACCACTGGGGGGATTACCTCTCCGCAGCCTCACATCTCACGACCTTTCATCGTTGGACGACTGCGATGTGTCAGATTTTTTCTTTCCATTGTGAGTCGTGCCGGTTTTGACACCACACACCCCATAATTCATTTTAATTCGTAGTTGATCTTATGATGCCGTCTTTATCTCTTTGCTTATCTCATGTGACATTTAAAGAGGATACTAACTTTGGCATTGACTCACCATTTCATCGCCAATCATCCAATCGATGTTCTATGTAATAACTGATAGAAGATAAGATTTTCTTAACTATACGAGGAAATCTCTCTATTCTATTGAGGAAAATCCTCTATTCTATTGAGAGAAATCATTTCTCATAATCTGTATAAATAGGAAAGGGAACATGTTAATGTATTGAAGCATTTTTCATTTCTTCAATAAAGCTTCTTCACTTCTTCAATAAAGTTTCTTCAGTAATTATTCTTATTTTCTATTCGTTTCATCAATAACTAGCAATTCATAATATCAGCTACCATCAAAACTATAATGTCCGATAATTCAGTGCACAAATATTCCTTGAGTGAATTTTTATTCTCCAACATAATTTTCGAATTCTCCAAGTGAGAAAATATACTTCTTCATACTTTTCGAATTCTCCAAGTCAACACCATAAAAATCCCCCAAGTGAGAAAATATACTTCTTCATACTTTTCGAATTCTCCAACATAATTTTGGTAAGGTCTTTGTCACACACACCCTCTTAATATAGTGTTTATAGGATCATCCGTCAAATTCTCTATCATTTCGACATCTCATCTATAACAGATTGAAAAGTTAAACCCAGGTTAGATCTGAATCTACTGCACATTCAATTATGTATGAAATGGGAACAGAAATGATTGTCGATGATTCCGATTCAATAAAAGTATATGATAGTTGAGGGCGAAATGTATAAATTATGATGGTAAGGTATGTTGAGCGTATTCGTAAGTCATCTAATTTGACAATGACCACCTTCTTTTGGACTTTGGACTACGAATAGAAAGAACCCACTCAGTAGAGTTAAGAGTAGGTATGGTAGCGTGGAGAAAGTTTCTACCATCAACGAGTCCGACGGCATTAGAAGAATAAGAGTTCGAATGCATGTGTGTTGAAAATTCCTGAACAAGGGAAACAAATCTTTGGATCATTTCCGGACCAATGAAGGAGCATGCTAACGTTTACTTGTCAAGCGAGGTAGGTGAGAGCTTGTATGCTCATTGTTGCACCAGTTTGGGAGTTTTATAAGAGGCGTACAAAGATTTGATTCGGAATCACTTCTTCTTCTTCCACGTTAAAATTCAAATGTGGATAGCAGCGAGAGGTCAGGAAAGGGACAGGGTCAATGAGATAAACAATTAAAGGGAGAAGAAGGAAGAAGATATAAGCCGGAAGAACAGGTCTTAGTCACACATGGTTTCGGTTTCCTTTCATCAAAAGATAAATAAAAGCCCCATTTTGATTTGGTGCACTATGTTTTAAGAAGTCATTAATGTTAGAATTCCTCTCTGTGGTGAAGATAAATTTTGATATAGTACAAAATTAAAGATTATAGAGCGGAATTCATATAATTATATATAATTAAAATATTTAATCTCGTTTCTGTTCGTATCCTTTGCTCTACCGATAAAGGATAAAAATATAATTTTTTAATTATTAATTTTATATAAGAGTAACTTTTGTGAAAGCTTCAGTATTCTTTTTCGGCTTCGTTATCCTCCTAGATAGTCTACCAAGAGTAGAAAACTTTGATTAAATCTCGAATGCTTGTTCATCAAAACAAGTTCATTAAGGGTAGTCGTCATTTTATCGATGTTGCTTAGAAGACAACCATGGATCTTATTGTTGGCGATGATAACGATGAAGGCTTTGGAGTTATCAAAGTTGTCAGGCATTTAAGAGCTAAACGGTTGTTGTTGAAAAATATGATGTCTAGCTTCTTATCGAAGAGCACCGACGACAGTGCTCCCTTGAAGTCATTGAACTAAAGGTCGAGGTACTTAAGTGATAGCAAACGAAGGGCAACGTCCGGGAATGGGTTGACAAAGTAAATGTTGCTAGCGTCGAGCTCATGGAGGAGTTTGAGACGGGAAATGTTCTAGTGGATGATGTCACAAAAGCAATTGGAGTTGATGTGAAGGAGAGCGGTGTTGGGCAAGAGGCCAAGTTCCGTGGGGAGGTACCCGGTGATATCGATGTCATCAAGTTCAATGTCGATGGCAACATTGATCGAGGAGTCATCAGGCATCACGGTGCAGAAGACATCGTGATAGTCGCACATGTCAAGGTCGACTCAATTATCAATGAAGTTATGAGGGTTGAAGTGCGTGGCCTTCTTTCATGCCCTGAAAGCGATGTAAGCGCAATGGAGGGGGGATTGGCAATGGCGATGTCGATCTTGACATCGAACTTGAAGTCGTCGAGGTCTCCCTTCTCCGAGAGGGAAGAGAAGCAAAGCATTGGAGAGGGTCGAGGAAAGACACGAGAGGGAACGGAAGCAAAGCATGATAGCAAAGCCAGAGGGGAGGATAAAACTAGAGAATGATAGCAAAGCTTTCACATGAAAATAGCGATTGCGAAATTACCTTTTTATCTCATTTTAGAAACACATAATAGTGTTCTATTAGTAGAGTTGATGACATAAAAAAAATGAGATTAAATATTTTACTTTCATAATTATAGAGATCTCAATATAACTTTTAAAA